GAAAGGAAAGAAAGGAAAGAAAGGAAAGAAAGGAAAGGAAAGAAAGGAAAGAAAGGAAAGAAAGAAAGAAAGAAAGAAAGAAAGAAAGAAAGAAAGAAAGAGAGAGAAAGAGAGAGAAAGAGAGAGAGAGAGAGAGAGAGAGAGAGAAATGACAAGGATTACAACTCCATGAACCCCAACAGAAGAAATCCACCAGGCAAGACAAGCAATTAAAGAGGGGGGGGGAAGGGAGCCAACAATAGGAAAATAACATGACAAGGGTAAGTCAATACTTACCAGTTATAACAATCTGTGTTAATGGTCCTAACTCACCAATCAAAAGAAACAGACTCACAGAATGGGTCAACAAGCAAGATCCAACAATATGCTGCACACAAGAAACACATTTAATTCAAAAAGAAATTCATAGACAGAAAGTCAAAGGATGGAAACAATACTCCATGTGACAGGAACCCAGAAAAAAACAGAGGTAGCTATTCCATTTGCTGAGAAAGTACATTGCAAGATAGACTGAGGAAGGAAGAAAAGATCACTGCATGCTTGGAAAGGGAACAATCAGAGGAAGAGATAACAACCATAAATATATTTGCACCAAATACAAGTGCACCCAACTACATAAAACAAATATTAACAGACATGAAAAATAAAATAAGCACTAATACAATTATAATGGGAAATCTCAATACCCTACTGTCACCAATACAGATTAACTGCACAAAAAAATCAACAATGAAATATCAGAGCTAAACCAAACTTTTAAACAAATGGACTTAGTAGATGTCTACAGAGTGTTCCACTCAACAACAACAGAATACACATTCTTCTCAGCTGCACATGGGACATTCTCCAAAACAGACCACATACTCGCCACAAAACATGTTTAAGTAAATGCAAAGGAAGTGAAATTATCCCATGCATATTATCAGACCACAGTGCAATGAAATTGGAATCAATGGCAAAAGACACCAAAGAACTTTAAAAATACATGGAAAAGGGGCTGGGGATTTAGCTCAGTGCTTGCCTGGCAAACCTGATGTGGTGAGTTCGATTACCAGTGTGATTTCGTGAGTTTGATTGCCGGTACCGGAAAAAAAACAAAAAACAAACAAACAAAAAAAAAAAAAAAAACCACATGGAAATTAAGTCACACCCTCCAATGGGTCATATATGAAATTAAAGAAGAAATTAGTATCTATAATAAAATGATAATGCCAATACAATATACTGGAACTTACGGGACACAATGAAAGCACTTCTGCAAGGAAAACGTATAGTGGTGAATTCTCATATTAGAAAAACAGAGTGAACTCAAATAAATTAATGTTGAACCTCAAGTTTCTAGAAAAGAAGAGCAAGTCAAACCCAAAGTTTGTATGACAGAAGAAATTATAAAGATCAGAGCAGAAATTAATGCGTTAGAAACTAAGAAAACACAATCAATGGATCCAAGAGTTGATTCTTCAAAACATTCAATAAAATCAACAAACTCTTAGCCAACCTTACCAAAAAAAAGAAAGACCCAAATACATCCAATTAGAATGAAAAGAGTGAAATCAGAACAGATCCTGCAGAAATCCAAAGATCGTCAACACTCGTTGTTATGGTTTGTGTCTGGATGTCCTCTCAAAGCTTCATGCAGTCATGGGATGGGCTTCCAGAGCTTATGATTGATCCATGATCCAATATTTGGATTATGGGTGTGAGAGCTACACCCGCCCTGGGGCAGGCAGTTTCCATACAGTGTGAAGGAGGGAAAGAGGCTGCTTGCTGCCACTCCTCCTTTTTGCTCTTGTTACTTTGCTGTGTTCCACCACCATGAACTATTGTCCTGTGCCATGCACCACTCTGCCTTGGAGCCAGTTGAGTATGGACTGAAACCTCCACAAACT